TTGTTAGCTGCCATGTGGGTGCTGGGATTCAAACCCGGGTCTTCTGCAAGAAAGTCAGTGTTCTTACCCTCTGAGCCATCTCTCCAGCCCTGTGGTCTATAATTTAAATAATTGTTCTCAATAGTACTTGCTGGGAATCACTATTACTAACTTTAGATGAGACCATGAGTTCTTACTGTCTAAAAATGTGATATGTATGCTGCTTTGACTTAGATGAATGAAGACAAAAAAAAAACCACCTAAAGCCTTTAACACATCCCACTTTGCAATTATAAGTGATTAGGTCCTAATGGAGAAAGGAGCAGACACAGAATCTAAAAAGAGGAAAGATATGTAACAACCCCAAGTAGAGTCATGAAGCCATCTATTACCATCAAGTGCTTAAACTCACTACATCTGACCCTCAAAAGAGAACAAACATGGAGTGAGGACATCAGAATGACACTTAAAAGGCCCCAATAAAACACTGCCACCAAACAGTGATTCATAAGATGAGAAATGGTGACAATAGAGTATCAAAGCCATCAGAATTAGAGTGAAGACAGAAAGCTTTATGAAATAACTTTGGCCAGGATCTTTCTGCCTCTACAAGATCAACAGAGCACATTTCACGGCAGCTGTCTCAAAAGAATTTTGCTCACCATTCATTTACATTTCAAATGGATCAGCTACAATTAAATAAGCATTTTATGTCCAATTTAGATTGGCCTTGATGAGCAGGCCTAAATCTGTTTCCAGCATCACAATTGTCCTTTGTGATGGCACCTCCTTGTCATCTGTCCTTCCCAGGGAAGAACTTCTTAACCGAGGGAAAATGTGCCCAATGGGAGAAACCATCAAGTCCTATGATCTGCTAAAAGTTATCAGAGACAAGAGAGGATAGGTTTGATTTCAGTGAAATTAAGATACTTTTACCTATGGTATCCTTCCTACATAGAAAAAGCTAGGAGCTTGAGAGATGGCTCAGTGGTTAAGAGCACTGGCTGCCCTGGCAGAGGACCCAGGTTTGATTCCCAGCACCTACATGGCAGCTAACCATCCACTCCAGTTCCAGGAGAATCCAACGCCCTCTTCTGACCTCCAAGGTCATTGCATGATATGGGTGCACTTACATATGCAGGCAATACACTCATATAAATAAGATAAAAATAATAATTTTTTTTAAATAAAGTCTTGACAGCATTTGTAATTAGGGAGGCAGAAACGCCAGTGATGGTAGCCTAATACTGCCTGTCCTATGCCCATAGCATTTACCTAAATCTACTACATGGTTTTATTTATGAGCTAAGCCTATGTCTGACTTCCTTATTAGACTGGGAGTGTTCCAAAGTGAACTCGTGGTCATCAGCACTTTTTGTGTGACTCTCTTCAAATATTTTCCCTGGATATTGTTGATGTTGATAGTTAGGGAAATAAAATAGGCTAGGTAACTAACAGAAATTGACCCTCAAAAGCAACTAATTCTTTGTAAAACTTGATCATTTGATTTTTTGCCTTAACTGTTGTGAAAATCTTTTTTTCCGTAGGAAGAACAAATTCAAAATGCATGCATAAATTCACACACTATACAAAATTCTTAATACATTTATTTAGAAAATACAGCAAGGCTTGAGGATAAACCTTAGTAAAAGAGCACTTGCCTCCCATGCACAAGGTTCAGAAGCTCAGGGTTGAATGCATATAGACAACAACAACACATGAAAACACAGTGACACATAATAAATCAACCATCAGTGTTCAAATAAGCCAAAATTGCAAAAGCATCTTTGCCTTCTCAAATCCTTGTTTGGTTGAAACTCACAGCAATTATATGAGCATTTACCAGCACATGGGCTATAGAACTGATCCTACATCAAGTTTATGAGTGTCTTAGGTGAAACTGTTCTGTGGTCTAATAATTTTGGGGAAATACAGATTAAAAGAGCTTTATTATGAAGTTTCTCAATATACTTTACAAATCTCCTTGAATTTACTACATGTTGATCTCCAGCATCCCTCTTTTTTAAAAAACATCTATAGGTTTAGTGGTGTGAGGACCCTGCTTTGAGAAATGTTGAATCAGACACAATCCTAATAGTTAAAAAAATTTCACCATTGATGACCTATAATTCTGTAAGTTTCTTTGGAATGATGGTTCTTAAACCCAACTGCCATTAAAAATCACTAAGAAGCTTTAAACATGCTAATGTGTGTGGGAGGGTATCCATCCCCTAACAAGAAAGTTAGGATCTCTGATGATGAAGCCCAAGAAGTTGTAAATTTAGAGCTTTACATAACCTAGGAATTGCAACTTGTGACCATCCTGGGAGCCACTGACCAAGCAAATTAAGCTCTTTATCCTTAACTGACTTATGTCAATAAGTATGCTCCCAAGAATCTGCCTTCAAATCCTATCACATGCTAACAATATTAACCACCAAGGACTTATCTGGCCTATTCATACCTCATCTTCATAGGTATAGAAACAGAGATAATGGTTTGTGGGAGGTTGAGAATTTGAAGGCCAATGAATCATGGAAAAGCTATAACCAGGAGAGACACTAACATAACAAGCTTTATTTAAGTGAGGTTCCCTTGATTCAGAAGAGGAGGTTTAGGGTACTCCCAGTGGAGGAGATTAATGGGAGCAGGCTATATGTCTAGGATGTTGCTCGGCAACATGGCTAGGAGCATGTGAGTCAAGAAGTAGCAAGACTTCATGGGTTGTTGTCTTAGAACCACAAGACTCAGCCTTGTAGATGGACAGTGGAAAGTGAGGGGAGGCCTCCACAGAAATGCAAAGCAGGCAGCCTCTAGCTGGCTAACATCTGCTTGAACATGTTGTACTTCAGTAAAGGGCAGGTTTTTGACCTATTATGTCTCAGCTTGGAGTGAAGAAACAAACAATCTGGGGAATCCCTGGACAAAGACCATCTTTTTGGCCCATTTCCACGACATATTTGCCTTTCAGAGGTGTTGAAAGGCTAATAGGGATACAATGCTGTACTGGGACAGAGCAGTAACCAGTATAGCCTGAGAAGCCTATAGGCAGACACAAGGGCTTGAGGCCAAGAACAAAGGCAGAAATCCTAATTGGAACCTGTCACCATCTTCCAAAGTACAAGCAAGTGCTGATTGACTGTCCCCCAGACTCCAACATGTAGGAATTTCATATAGCCCTCAGATTTCACTGAGGTTAGAGTCATTTCTCTCATGATATGCAGATGTGGCTTCAGTCCTTCCCTAGCAGGTATCTGGGGGAAGAGATAGATGTTTCTCTAAAAGCTTTGGCATGTGCTGGCCTTCCAACAGCCAATAGAAAGCAGAATAAACCCAATCCTTGTCTGGCTGCTGGTTTTCTAGAGTACTTTCCTTACTTCCTTGAAGTACCTTTGTCTATGTAATGTCTACCTCACACAGTTGTTTAAAGCACAAAAGAGGTGGTGTGTGTAAAATGTTTACTCCTGTGCATCACGTGAGGTTCTCTCTTCCACTTATTCCTTTGAAGGGGTAAGTTACTCGTTATGGTAGAATTACAAATAAGATATATGTAAAAAATTATGAAACTATGAAATTGCTATTTAGTCACCATGGTAATCATTTTTGCATCCACAGATGCTAAAATTAGACAGTAAATATATGTGGAACAGGATGTGTGTGTAGTCTCAATATATCTCCCCACAGATGCTTATTAATTACAAAGGAAAAATAATTATGATGGAATAATCCTGTAGGTGCCACCTTAGCCCTATGATCAAAAGTAACTTCTCTAGTAATGACACATGTCAGCAACATGTGCCTCCTGCTATGACGCATGAAGGAAGACTCATCATCACTTTTGTAATAGTCTCAACTAAAATGCATCACCTTGGTTTAATTAGAGGAAACCTGGAAGATTCAAACTGAAGGAGATTTTATAAAGTAACTGGTCAAGATTCTTCAAAAGTGTCAGAGTCGTGAGATGACAGGAAAGACTGAGCAATTATCCCTTATTGAAGCAATTAAGGAAACTAGACCAACCACTTGCAATGTGGGATCCTGGTTTGAATCAAGGGCCCGGAAAGGGATGTTTGTTGTTTAGTTTGGGGGAAAAAAAATGGAATAAGCTCTCTAGACTCTGTATCTTTCAGTGTTATTTTTCTCCTTTTGAAAGTCATACAAGTGTTATATAAGATACTACTATTTGGAAATGATGGTGAAGGGCAAATGGAGCTTTATGCTATTTTCTTGACATTATAAGTTTGCAAATTTTTAAAACAAAAAATTTAAAAATAAAATGAAATAATTTTCCCCATTCTGATATTTTAGAGATAACAGAATCAGTTTTCAAGATTTTCCCCCTCCTAGGTATGCTTGAGATAGTGAAAGGTGAAAGAGTTCTAAGATGTGCATTTTAATAAGCATGTCACATGATGCTGATGCTGATGCAGTAGGTTGCCCTATCCTAAATCTCAGGCTGGAGGATTTGTCAGAAGAAAAAACAAAAGTGATAAAGGCCAGTGGGCTGTGAGAGAAGAGGTGGAGATGGAAAGAAAGCAGAAGCTCTTGGAAACTGCTTCAGAAAGTTTTTGAATATGAGGCATGGGGAAACTGTGAGGTGAGGAATAGTTGTGAAAGACATTAAAAGGGTAAAACAGGGCCACGAGGTTAAAATTACATTGCTGGCTTTATATAGTATGTTTTCCATCTGCTGATGAAACTGAAGTAGAGAGTTCAGTGGTTTCATTATTGTCTTCTGTTTTGTTTTGTTTTTTATTCTTTGAATAGTAATTTATGCTAGAATTCTTCAGCAAGGCCTTAGGCTATGACACAATCTAGATCCTGTGCTTTGTTTGGAAGAGAGACTCAAAACCATTTACCGGGTAGCCATTTGGCTTTATGATTAATAGCTCAGAGAATAATCAGGAGAGGCGAAGTGGCGCCACATGCTCAAACATCTGGTGGGATCTTGTGACATTGTCCTCTACTCTTGGGCAGAAACATCACCAACAGCTGACCCAGGAAGGGGGACTCCATGCTTTTCATGGGTCATCTTCAGTTGCAATGCTCTTGTGTCTCTTCCTAGTCATTTTCAAGACTGGAAGCCAGAAGTGAATCTGAAAAGTGGATGGATAGTCATTGGAGTCATTTTAAATGCCTCTGGTATCAACCTTTCTTAGTGGTGTTACTGGTATGAGGAAAAACTGCAAAGACTTTGAAAAACACAGAAAACATACTTCTGGGCATTCTTGGTCTTTCATTGGCTATAACTCCTGATAGCAGCAAAGCAAATGATTCTTGTCTGTGGCACACAAATGAATTTCACCCTGTAGAGAACAAGTGATTCCTCCCATCCACCTTTGAAGAAGGACCCAGTTTTGCACTTATAAAGCAAATTCGCTTTAGTGTTGTTAGGATTTGGACCCACAGCAACTCCCCCAATGCAGTAGGACCCCACAGGTTCACAAGCCCCTGAGAATGCAGGAACTGGGTTGACACCTTGTTCTTTGAAATCAAGAGAAGCAGACTTTTCTGCACCTTTTGGCCAAAGGCAGCAGGCTTTCCCTTTGATGATCTTGAAGGGTAAACAGACACCTCTTGACCCAGATCCTGGCTGAGGGACAGAAGGGGGCAGTTTTTAACAGAAGCTGTTCTGATAAGCCCTGGGTTCCCGCTTTTGCCCCCCCCCCATTTTTAATTTTATTTATTTATTTGTGTGTGTGTGTGTGTGTGTGTGTGTGTGT